TTATTTTGTACAAACAAAATAAATATATTGAAAAATATAAAAACAATAAAAAATTATACTTCAGAAGTTAATTTAGTATCAAAAACGTAAAATATTTGAGTAGCCCAAGACATAACCAAAGATTGAAGCGCCACAGCACTGGCGAAAATTTAAATTTGCCGACTGGAATTCTTTCGGATGATTGACTTTCGGAAAATCGACGCTCTACTGTATCTTAAAAATTTGAAATGCTCACAAATTGCAGTTCTTACTTTTAAAATTAATACTAAGCAACAAAAAACCCTTACACATGAGGAAAATACAATAAAGTGAGGAAAGAATTTTCTGGTTGCAACATTTGATGAACTAGGCTATTCTTGCCATGTCTGAGGATATCTTAGATAAATTAGCCATAATGGCCAATATGTGAAGTTACCAGCATTAGTATAGAGAAAAGTACAACCTTCCTGAAATATACATGTAATTCCAGGCCCAACTCGTGAAATTAATGGATTAACTGTGTGTTTGACATGTTGACTGCCAACTATGAGACAACTTTTAGTTTGCATTATTGCCTAGGACGCCACCTACAAGTTATCTTGTAGTTTTTTACTTGCCATATTTATGCAGCTACAATGAAATTCATAGTATATCAGTGTAAGTTTAAATAGATAGTCTCCGGGGCATAAACAAAATAATCAAGGTTGGCTTACATGAACAGAACATTTATTAATAAATGAACAGAAAATATAATCATAAAAAGTTTATTCAAAATCAAAAGCAAAAGAATATTTTTATTGTTTGTGATCATTTTTAAAGCAATCTTCCATGCAAAGGGCTGGCTAGCTTCTCTGGACAGATTGGACAAAAATAATGCATTTCTTGGCATTTTTTAGCTTAATTTATTTAGCATCCTTTATTGGATGACAAATCGTAATTTGTTATATGACACGTGATTTCTATAGGATGCGCACATCGTATCCCCACTAGTAAAAATTATTTTTTTAAACGGCGCATGATTGCCTTCCATATTTGAACATCTAGAAGTGAAGCACGTTCTTATTTAAAAACATTCGATTATAAGAATCCAGTTATAGCGAATTTGGCCTAAAGAAGAGCCCAGGAGAGGCATTGAAAGCGTTTGCCAACCTATGTTTGGATTTTTCACACTGGATATTGGTTACGGAGTGTACATGTTTTGCTTCTCTAAACTTTATAAGTTTAGAGAATATATGTTTTACTTTAGTTTATAAGTTTTATTTTAGAAGAACTTGCTTTTTGAAAAAGTTTGTGTGCATTGTGTACTTGAATCCTCAGAATGTACATAATTGCTACTGTCATTACAATCCTCTCCAAAAACCTCGTCAGATTCTGAATCACTTAGATTAGTATAGTAATCAAGTTGTTTTTCAGTCAGTGGTCTTTTCTTATCTATATTGGTGTATTTATAATTTGATTATAAAGCAACACACTCAAGAAAGACTTAAATGTGATGCACTCGACTCCTGTATCTGATTTATTACTAACAAATTTAGATGCATATCTCTGACTGGGCTGTAGTGAAGTGACAGGTCAAATCATGTTTGTGCATGAATAAACTCATAGTTTGGCTTTAGCAAACAGCTTTCTGTTACATAAGCCAACTATGAGATAATTTGTAAGATTTTTGTTTTTTAAAACACATTCTACATGCTTTTTGATGATTACTATGTACTATAATTAGAGTTTTTGACAATATAATATAATTTAATTAAGTTGGCTTTTTACACTGGAATCCTGAAAGTACCATGGCAGTCAACGTGTTAATTAAAAACATCTATATTATCACATTTATAAGTTGATTACAATTTAAAAAATTATTAAAACCTGAATTATTTTCAAGATACTTTTGCTTATATCTTCAAAACACATTTGCTTTTTTATATTACCATTCAAAAAAAGTATAAATATAAATGTTTATTTAATGATCATCAGATCTTTTACTACAAATGTGCAATTATTATTTGATAACATAATACAAGTCCTCGCTTAACATTGTTTCATTCTAATGTTGTTGAGGGAAGATAAAAGTACATTTGTAATTATTTATGCAATGTTTTGTTTAATATCCAAAAACCAATTTCCAAGAATATCAATGATCTTAAGTGTGAACTTATTGTATATTTAAATTTTAATTTCTCTTTAGCATAAACATATAAATTATGTTTTAATAATTTAAGTACTAAGTACTTACAATTTTTTCTCTGATGGTGATGCAGCTACAAATTCATATATTGCATGTTGGTCTGAAGCAGATACAAGGAAAAATGCACTTTTATCTATAGAATTAAATAATAATATTAATTATTTTCTAATACAATTTTGATAACCACTAGTAATTTTTATAATATTTATCATAATTCAATTTGAATTAGAAATTCTACAAAGGAGAAAATTTAATTTCAACATTACATTTTCTATTTCTAATTCTTTGCTACTAGCTAAATATTCTATATTTACATGGTATACTAAATTTTTTTTTATTCATTAGTTAAATCAAAATAAAAATTGATTTAATGAAGTAATCATAAAAGTTTTATGTAGCTTAAATGTAGTATATATGTCCATATAGTACAATCTTGTTAATCCAATCATTTGCTAGTTTGATATATCCAGTAATCCAATGTTAGTAAACTTTCAGGAAATACCAGTACTGTTTTGAAGTCATAGGCAAACCTTCCACTAGTTCAAACTCTAGTTCCCACTAAAATTGAACATCTTCCCACTAAACATGACATGTTGTTAAGCCTAAGCTTGAACATTCAAGCTTGAGCACAGTATTAAAGATTGCTATGCTCATTATTTTAGGCTACTCAAAACAGTACAATATCTTATAACACAATAACTATGTATAAATATAAAATTCAGTTCCTGAAATTTCTCACTAAATTCTGTGGGAAACTAATAACTTGACAACAGTGATAACAAGCAACAGCAGCACAGTCCCAGTCCCACATATGTCAGATTACCAAGAGTGTACCATAAGATTCAATAGTTATTTCTGCCAAAATTGTTTTGCTTACTTCATAATTTAAATAGTTTTTTAAACTTATTTATAAGTTATATATATTTATAATAATATTTAAAATTTTAATGATGATGATGATAGCATTGACATAAATACATAATTCTTAATTTATTTTTCACAGAAATTATAAATAAAAATAATGTTAAAATGACAAAAGAAGGATAAAATATATGATGCATTTATTACATTTTCAACAATCATATAAATACATAATGTGCAAATGTACAATATCTAGTCTGTAAGTTTATAATACTGTTTTTTGATATATACCTGTAGCTACATTTCGAGTAAATAAATTCTGGACCCTTAAAATAGGACTGCGAGTCAATTTTGTATCTTCTCTACCAGTCATCAAGTTTGTATTATGGAACTTAAGAATGTATTTTTCATCTTGCTTTTGCAATAGAACTAAAATATCTTCAAACAAAACAACATGCATTTCCACAGTTTTTTGTTTATTCAATCTCCACGTCAAATGGCCATCATATAATAATTGATGTTTCGTCAAATCTAAATTCTGTGAAAAGAAAAAAACAAAAACATAACTATAACATTTTATACTGAAATATTAAATTAATATAAATTTATTAATACTCTAGAAGTCTTTAATAACAAATCAGAAACAATTGCTTTATCAAAGAATAATACAGAGTATTTTTTGACCAGTTATTCTATTAATGTATTTAATATACAAGAAAATAAGTAATATAACATCTATTATACAGGATGTCTGGATTAAAGGTTTAATAAAGAAAAATATTATAATTTGCATTGTATTTGTATCAGACTGGAAGTCAGTGTGAATTTTATGTTGACACTTGTGGCCATTTGTGAGAAATACTATATCTTGGTGCTGAGGTTAGTAGCATGTACTGTACTGTACACTTAATGTCAAAATAGGTACATATTTATGAAAGAACACATAATAAGCTACAGTAAAAGGAACAAGTTATTTAGTATTGCTGCAACTTATGCTATTCCTCAACTTCCTCCTGGCACCATTTTTCAATGAAATGTGGCTCTTCCCCATTTTGCAATTCCAATAAAACAATTTTTGAATGGAGTTTCTCATAAGGTAAATCGGTTATTACCTCACTGGACCTTTTCCTATAAGATTTTGTGAATAATCAAGTGTAGTCTGCTATTCTGGTTATTGAACTTATCTCTGAAAAGTAAAAACACACTTCTGAAATAACTTCTCAAGACTGTTTTCTGATTTTTTTTTAATTTTATGTTGTTAATAGAAAGATTGTGGTAAATAAAATTTTGGTCAGGAGGACTGATGTCATTTCTTTCAAATAAAATAGTACCCAAGTAAAGAAGAACTCTTATTGGCAGGCAAGGAAGAAATGAAAAATTATGCTCAATTAAATGTTATCAACTTAATTTGCATGCAGAAATGAATACTAAACTGTGAAGGTGTTTACACACAAAACATTGTATACTGAGAAATTTTTATAATTTAAATCTATTTGCTTTTTTATTTTCTCTATTTATTTGTAATTTAACAATTTACAACAAATATTTTGTTGGATATAACTAGCTCTTTAATTAAGGATAGAATGAAAATGCAAAGCATTAAATATGCATTGAATGACATTCATTTTTTAAGAGACCAGCATATATATTATAGATTCATGGTCAGATTTTTTGCTTATGTTTTGCTCATTATAGATGACTAACCAGAAATAGATATTGGTCAGTACAGATGACAGATAGTAAATTACATCACTCTGTACTAGTGTGAGGGACGAACAGACCCACAATAAATTTTATAATTTAAATTTTAATTATTGGAAACTTTAATCGGTTAAATTCGAGCGTTTTATTGAGTTAGGCTAAAAGCCATAAAAATTATTTCCCACGGAGTTTGTTCCTTGTTGAGTCGGATCCAGTTAGTCAGGGATGTGTCACCAGGAACTTTCGATGGAGAATCCATATTGGACGCCAGACCCTTAACAACAACCACCTGACCTAATGGAAAAACCCAAGAGGAATTACAAGAAAAAACCCTCAAGAAGAAGAGAGTCATCTTCCAAAGTCCGCCCAACAAAGTCGTCCTCCAGAATTAAAATCGTGACCCAGGATTAAAATCGTGAGAAAAAATTGTGCCTGGTTAAGCCTCTACACTCCTCCGTGCCTCCACACCAGTGAACAGACAAGATTTGGAACTAGTGGAAAGAACAGGTCCATAGACAAGGTATTTATCAATCCTCAATTCGTTTGTAAACTCTCTCTCTCGACGGGCCTCTCTTAAATAGGGGAACTATGACCGAAATTGACTCTCTCTGTATTTCCTTTAGTTTCATTAAAATTGTTAATTGTTAGCAACCATGGAATCCGATTAA